ATGATCTAAACTAGGGAGGTCACACTTACATCAATATATTTTTGTGCTTTTAATTTTTTTCTTCTTCTTTTTCTTTTCTTTTTTTTCATTTTTAAAGCATTTGCTTTTGCTCTTTATTATACTTTATTGCTTTGTCCTCGCCTCTTTTAAGTATGGATGGCTTTTTCAACTCGCATTTGCCTTTATTCACACACTTTATATACAACACATACTTGCTTAGCAATAAAACCAAATAACCATGCTCATATTCCCATAAGCACCAACAAACTATGACCAATTGCTTCACAAAAACAAAGATGGAAACAAAAATGAAACAAATGGCTCAAAAGCTAGTAATATGGCTAGAAAAGAGGGTATAAGGCTCAAATGGTTAGCAAGAAGGAAAATGTAAACCCAAAACCAATAATATAAAATCTAATCCTAGAAAAGGAAAAATTACCACCCCGAAAAGATGTCTTTGTCCTTCCAAAATGGTTCGGTTGCAATCTCGGGAAATAAAAGTCAAGTTCTAGATAAAGCAAGCAATAGTCAAGGATCCATGTGTCGCACAAGCAATAAAGGTTGAAGGCTAGAAAAATGAAACCTCACATGGTTGTATCAAAAGCTCACTTTTAGCTTCAAATCCACTATAGGAAGCGACACCTTCTTAACACAAACAAGTAGACTAGGACTTCAAGGTCCCAAAAGTTCTAGACACACAACCCTAACATATTCTATCCTAGAGTCAAGCAAGCATATTCTCAAATCGTGCATACCGTTATCATATAGGAAGTAATTCATTCAAAAATAGAAGTCTGAATGGTATTATGTCCAATTCGTAAGCGAATGTAACGAGAAAAACAAAATAATGCCTCAAACAAAAATCTTTATGGAGATTTTTATATTCAAAGGGAATAAAAACAGGAAAGAAATTAAAAGAGGAAAGAAAAAGGAAAGTATATGAAAAAGAAAAGAAGAGGATGAGTAAAAGACACTACGCGAAAAAAGGTCTTTGGCACCGGTTCAAACCCACCTTTGGGCACCGGTTTTGAACCGTTGAAGATTTGAAGGATGCCATATCTCTGAAAATTTGGCACCGGTTCAAAACTGGTGGCTATTTAAAGATTTGGAACAGGTGCCAAAAGTTTGTTTTCCAATCCCGCCCGTTTTTTTAACCACCGGTTTTCAAAAACCGGTGCTAAAGGTGGGGTGCCTTTGTCATTTTTTCTACTAGTGAGAAAAGCACAAAGATGCATGCAAAATCATATAAATCCCAATCGACAAACAAGTGGTCATTCAACTACCACGCCAATGACCCCAGACACGCTTACGGTGTTGATAGCAAACATCGTTGAACCGTTCAACTCTTCCTAAACTATTCCTAATCTAAGCAAACAAGAAAGAATGATAAAGAGAGAAAAATAGAAAGATCTTACCAAACAGTCCAAGCTAGACTTATAAAGGAAGCGAAGAGAAGCTTACACCTCCATGTTGCTCTAAGAAGCATAGCAAGATCTATATGGAAATGTGAGAAAGAAAATAGACTGTACACAAAGAAAAATGTTAGTAACTTCAAAACAAAAACGTCAAAATAAACTGTAAACTAAACTAGAAAGAATTTGGATTTGAGGGATTTGGATTCTTGGGTTTGGACTTAAAGGGAGCACAATCATCATAAAAAATTATCAAAAATCATCATCAAGAAAAATCATCAAAAACCATCATATCATCAAAGCTTCATCATCATCACAACAACAACCGCCAAAAACATCAATGGCAAAGGAGAAGCATCATGTAAAACAAACACAACAATCATATGGACAACAAGCATGCTAAAAACACACACACCCACCCCACAAATGAACATGAAATCCCCTAAGCTAGAATGAAAACATCTCAACATCCCATCATACAAAGCAAATGATCAACCAATAAAGAGATGGAGGAAAAAGCACAATTAGGGGACTATTGGCCACTAGGACTAGCCCCACCATCATCATCCTTCCTATCATAGGAAAAGCCGGACGGGGGTCCATAAGGATCCTATCCCCCGGTATAGCCGAGTGGCCAACCATAATGACCTCGAAAGTTCTCTTTTTGCCAAGAGGTCAAGGGAGAATATTGCGAGGGAAATTCAAGGGGGGCGGGATGAGTAAGATCAACGTAGGGATAGTTAGGATCACCCCTATAGTTTCTCCCAGTCTCCCACCGGGCACACAGTAATCATAGTTACCGTGCTCATCTAGAAAAAAGCGCAACTCGGTATTAGGTCCTTGTCGACCTTGCCAAAATGGATATGTAGGCTTACCATCACCCCCCAAGACGGTACGGGACCGTGTTGTGGCGGAAAGTATGGATAATTAACCACGGGGGTGATTTCGCCCCGGTTGGCGCTCGCATCATACAAAGCTTGTTGTTGGAGGAACATACCTTGTTGCATCTCCATGAGCCCTCGCATGCCAAATTACATGCTCTTCATTTGTGTGCGCATAGCCGCCAAATCTTGTTCGAACATGCCTTCCAAGCCAAGTTACAAGCTCGTCATTTGTGCTTGCAAAGCCTCCAAATCTTGGTTAGAGCCTTGATGTTGTTGTCGTTGTTGTTGTTGTTGTTGTTGTTGTTCACCATCATCATCATACTTATCCTCCTCCCCAACACCTGGTAACCGGTTGCTCAAAGGCATAAACCAAACATTCGGAGCATCCCTATACAAAGAGGTCAAAGAAGTGTTTGGGAGATAGCACCGATGCTCATGCCTCACTAACCAATCAACTACATAATCATCACCATTCTTTGCAATGAAGTTCACTTGCTTAAATTAGGGGATGTCAATGTAGATGTTGTTTGCATCGCTAACAGGAGTGCATGGAGCAAGGTAGCGGGAGTAACAAAACCTTGAAGCCAACCTAGTTACCATACTCCCACAAGTAATCTCGCCCGTTCTCCTTCCTCCCATGATAGATTCACAACTCCTCATAAAGTGATGACCCATGTTCAACCTCCCTTGTCACTCTTCTCTTATTTCTAACCAAAGAACCATCAATTCAATCTTAGACATTTTACCCAAATCTTGCTTGGGGAAGACCAAATACCCCAAAAGCCTATGCAAAACACGAAGACATGGTTAGTAAATGTCACTAGCCAAAGAGTAGCGAGCGGTAAGTTGCTCCTTCCCCGAAATTACATTCCACCAAGCAAACTCTACATATCCATTAAAATGCTCATGCTTGGGGAATAGAAGATCGGCATCGGGGTTAAAATCAAGGGCCTCATTGAATTCTGGGAGGGAAAGGGTATGAGGGACATTGAAAATTTGGAAAGATATCTCAAAGTCGGCATCACCAATTGGAGTGGTAGAGAAAGAAGCTTAAAACTCCCTTATGGGCTCGACATATGTTCGGTAGGCGGAATTTACAAATGTGTCTATCCGAAGGTGTCCAAAAAGCATCCACAAATCCTCATTTATACCCAATTTGATCATGTCTTCTCTATGATAATGGCATGAGGGTCTAATGATTCTCTTTGTGATGTTGATGTAAATTAGTTTGTGCAATGAGTTTTGGAATTTTAGAGTTGGTAGAGGTAGGGGTTCATTGGAGTTTTGTGTTTGAGGTTCATTTCAGGGCTCTTCAATCCTCACTTGGGGTTAAACTCTTAACATGATTAATCAACAAAGATGAAAACCTAACAACTCAATTAAGAAACCACAACCACCACTAACACCAATATTATCGACACCACAAAAGTACCACACCAATCAAACCAATGAATGCCAACTTCAAAACTTCACCAAAATCTCACCAAAGATGAACAATAATGCTAAACAATCAAAAACAATAAATGTTAAGCATGAAAGATAAGTAAACAACAACAACAAGAATCAACATTGTCAATTCAATCAACTAAATTCCCAAAATCAATACTACTACTATTCACAAGTATTAAACAATCAAATTATTATCCAAATATGATAAAACAAGCTAAATAAGAGTAGAGAAGATTATTATACCATACAATAAGCGAGATTAACCAAGGTTGGAGCACCAATTTACCAAAATTCGAAAATCCCCAATTTGCTCTTCAATGGAGATTGAAGCTTGAAGAAGAAGAAATGGTGAGTATTAGTATGGAAAGTGGTTAATTTGAGGAGAATTATGTAGGAAATGATGGAATTGTGATAGAAATTTGTGAATTAGGATGATGTTTGGGAAAATTTAGGAGTTAGAGTTTGAAGGGTAGAGTGAGAAAGAGTGAAAACCGTAAGTTGGGATAATAAGAAATGAGGAAAAAGAATGGAAAGAAAGAAAAGCTTCGGTTGGGCTTCGTGCGCACCCGCGCAAGCCTGCTGCGCGCCCGCGCGTGGGTCGCGCAGGTAGCCGCGCTCCGAAAATGCGCTCGGCTTTTTCCTTAGAGCACCCGCACACTCCATCTGTGCGCCCGCACACCCCTGTTTTGCCTCTTTTTCCTTCCTAAAACCTAGTTCTAGCATTCTTAATTACATTTACCTTCCTCAAATGGCTCAAAACAAGGAATATTGAGCACAACACTCATTATAACCACTAAACACCTCCAAATGATGCTTCATGCTTGATCAAATGAATCCAAATCGCATGAAAATCACCCTACAAATAAAAACACAAAAACAAGTAAAGAAAAGGAGAAGATAAGAAAAGAGAAATGAAAATTAAAATGAAAAGATAAAATTTAGAGGGCCGGGTTGCCTCCCGGAAAGCGCTTACTTAAGGTCATAAGCTCGACCCTACCTCCAAGTCATGGAGGGTCAAGAAGACCACCTTGTCCAAAGTGGTGGAGACGGAAAAGTCATTGTCAAGCTTAGGCAAAATCACATCATGAGACATATAATCTTGCATCATAAAAACCGGATCAAACTTGTTATGCTTCACATTCTCTTTCTTTTTCTTGGGAATTATCTTTCTCTTCTTTGTTTTCTTCTTTATCGGAGCAAAGAACACCATACCATCAATGTCACTATTCACATCATCATTCAAAGCAAGTCCAAATCAATCCGACATCTCAATCACATCATCAAGCCATGAGGTCTCTTTCTTGCCATCACTAACAAATTTGCTATCAATGCTTATAGAAGCAATTCCTTGCACAAAAGAAAGGGATTCATGCATAGGTTTAAGCTTGAAACTAGCCGAATCATCACCAACACACAAGGTAATAATGCCACCTTTCACATCTATCAAGGCACCCAAAGTTTCTAAGAATGGTCTCCCTAGAATGATAGGAATGTTGTCATCTTCTGTAATCATTAGCTCAATGAAGTCAACAGGGATAGTGAACTCTCCTATCTTGAAGGGGACATCCTCAATTCTACCCTTGGGGAACTTAATAGAACGGTTGGCCAATTGTAGGGTCATGTTGGTTGGGAGGAGCTCACCTAGCTTAAGCCTTTTAAAGGCGGAATATGGCATTATGCTAACACTAGCACCAAGGTCACAAATAGCATTTTGAAACACTTCTCCATTGATGTTTCAAGGTATTGAAAAATTGCCCGGATCTTTCATCTTCTTGGGTAAGTCATTGTGGGTAAGAGCACTACAACACTCCCCAACCTTTACCAAGTCAACCTCATTAAACTCTCTTTTTCCACTTAAGATTTCCTTAAGGGACTTAGAATAGATTGGCATTTGTTTCAAAGCATCGGTGAAAGGGATAGAAAAATGAATTTCCTTAAGCATGTCAAGAAATCTTCCAAATTGATCATCAATCTTGCTCCTCAAGAACTTTTGTGGGTAACGAAGTTTGGGTTTGATAACATCATTTTGCACACTCTCTCCCATCTTGACTTTCTCATTAGCAACCTCACACTTTTTGCTAGATGCACATCATCATTGAATGAATCACTCACCCTCTCACCTTCTTAACTGTTCCTAGAAACACTCTCCTCAAGGACCTTACCACTCCTAGTAGTGATATAATAGACCGGTTTCTTAGGTTCAATCCTTTGAGAGGGTAGAGAAGTAGGACAAGTAATCTCTTTCAAAGTGTTAGCTAGTTAAGTGATTTGAGTTTCAAGCATCTTGCTATGTGTCATCATTTCATTGAATTTCTTATCACTAACCGTCATGTATGTGTTCAAAATCTTGGTTTGATTTTCAATTATCTCTTCCAAATTAGACCTAGAATAAAAAGTAGGTTGAGAATAGGAATTATCACCTTGACCTTGGATCTTTGAAACTGGGTGGGAGACCCCTTTGAGCATTGTTTTGAAAATTTCCCCTATTTTGATTGTTCCAATTACCCTGATTTTGATTTTGGCCATAGCTATGATTATGGTTACCATAACCTTGATTATGATGACCATAACCTTGGCTTTTATTTTGGCCACTATAACCTTGGTTATTATAGTTACCCCGGAAACCTTGGTTTCCTTGGTTCTTATAACCACTACCTTGGTTATAGTTGTCTAAATTGCCTTGGTTGTGATAGTTCCTATTCCCTTGGCCTCTTTGATTATAAAACTTTGAAACATTGTTGTTATTAGACACATAATTCACATGCTCATTCTCATTACTGTCAAAATCATCATATCCATCCGAAAAAGCATGAGGGCAATTAGAAGAATCATGCTCATATGAACCACATACATCACAAAACAAGCATCCACTAGGCATGTTATTAGAAGTAGAAAGAGGAGTAGAGTTGGAAGATGTACCTCTCCCCTTATTTTGGGAGGGAAGAGTAGGTGTTAGGGATGAAGCACTCTCCAATTTGGCTTTGACGGAAGTCATCTCCTTCCCTAGATTTGTGAATTGTGAGGATAAGTTGTTGATGACATTGAGGTGATCAACAGAGTAAATCGTAGAGCCACTCTTGCTTGTTGATTCTTTCTCACCGTCTTGCTAATCCATGTAATGCCTCACTACATCTTTAATAATATCCACTACTTCCTCTTTCGTTTTGTTCATAATGGGTCCTTCGACTCTCGCATCAAGACAAGACTTCCCTTGAGGGCTTAGACCGCCATAAAAGATTTGAATGATTTGGTAGGTAGGAATTCCGTGGTGAGGACACTCCCTTTGATAATCCTTGTACCTTTCCCAAGCTTCATAAAGGCTTTTATTGGATCTTAGCTTGAAACTTTGGTTGAGTGCTCTTGCCTCCGCCGTTTTCTTTTGGGAGTAAACCGGGATAGAATTCCTTAGTAACCTCATCCCATGTCCTTAATGAGTTTGGCTTGACTTCTTTATCCAACCATTCCAAGGCACACCCTATGAGAGAAAAGAGGAAAAGCTTCAAACGAATGAACTCTTGTGAAACTCCGTTCACTTTGAAAGTGTTGCAATACTTCTCAAATTCTTTGAGGTGGTTTAGAGGACTCTCATGCTTGGCCCTAATAAATTGTCGCCTCTCTATCAAAGTGATCATTGTCGGTCTAATTTCAAAATCATTCGCCGGTGTTGTAAGTGGAGCAATCCCGCTCTCGAACCTATATGCACCCGGAATCCCTAATTCCTTCAATGCCACTCTTGGATTTTCTCCCATTCTTTCTTGTTCTTCTTCTTGTCTTGGAAGACTTAAGGAACACGTAGAAACTCTTATCTTCGTAATTGTCCTCTTTATTTCTGATTAATTGTCACTAGAGAGCGACCACGTGCTCTATGCATACAATCTCAAAAGAAACTATTAGTAGCACGGCTACAAATGTTTTTGTGTTTTTTTTTTACAAATAAGATGAAATAGACTCAACAACTATAGGAAACAACTACGCAATTCCCCAAAAACGGTGCCATTTGATATAGGGTCTAAACATGTCGTTAAATGCTTAAAACCTCATCAACAGAATTTATAAACACTCAACCAATCCTAAACCAAGTATAGGACAAGTCAAGGGTCAAACCACGAAGAATGGGAGAAAGGTTACTATAGCCTAAGGTCAAGCTATTTCGTAGAAAAAGAAGGGTGTTGAATATGACTAACTATGGTCTCAAACAACTAGACTAAAGAGGGAATTCAATATCAAAAGCACTAGAGATTAGGATCCACTACAATCATGATAGTTATGCCAATTGAGGGGAAATCAATCAACCAAATGTTGTAAAGGAGGATAGTAATTGCAATCAAAAGAATTCAAAAGGTTATCTCCTAGAATTCAAGCTAGGTTTCCCCTATGAATGACTAGCAGGAAGAATCACAAATCAAATTCAATCAATAAATGCAATCCCTAAATCAAGGGTTCATGTCATTAGGAATCACAATGCAATCTAACTTGAAAATCAAGGTTAGCTACTCCTTAACAATTCAACTACATGCACAATTCTATCAACCAATTTAATCACAACATATAATTAATCATAATCCTTCAATTGGAAATAATCCATAATCTATGCATGCTTCACCATCTCCCTAGCAAGGAATCTACTCACTAAGCATGTTGAAATTGAAGAACCAAACTAAACTTATCATCAAAATCATCATCATTGCAAAACAAACAATAAAGAATCAAACTAATCAATAAACTTGAAATTGCAACAATTAATCAAAATCAAATGCAAAAGATTAAATTAAGAAGAAGAAGAGTCTCACAAACTTTGAACAAATCAAAGAAATTGTGCTTGCATTCAAAGTAGAAGGAAATCAAATGAAGAAATCATCCAAATTCTCTCAAGTTTCTCTCTCTACAATCTAAGAACTAGAAACTAACTCCAAAACTTCTCTCTCTAGCCTCTCTAGCCAATCCAAAAAAATATGAATGAAAAATTAACTCCCATAGAATAACTAACTAAGGAAAAATAAAGTGGACGTCCAAAAGAAACCCGTACAGGCACGCCCTTTCTCCGGAATGCGCGGTCGCGAAAAATGGGGTAAGGAACAGATAGCTCAGGTGGTGCGCCCGCACGCGAAGTATGCGCGCCCACGCCAGCACCTTGCGCGCCCGCACCCGCCCCACTGGAACAAGGGACTTCCTTCATGCGCTCTTCAATGTGAGAAGTGCGCTCCTCTTGATCGAAATTGGGGATGGAAGTCCCAAAATGAGTTTACGGTGGGTGAACATCGTATTTTCATGTGAGCGCTGCATGAAGGCGCAAGCATCAAGTCTTGGAGTAAGTCATCCCTTGATTTGTGAGCTATATAAAGCTTCCACCTTGCACTTTGAGCATCTTCTAACCTGAGGATTCACCATGAAGGGCCTTGGACTTCACCTTAGACCTGGATATAAAGAAAGGAGAACTAGTAGAAGGGAAGAGATGATAAAATCCACGAAAATACAAGGAAAAAGGTAGAAAAGACTAGAATAAGACCATCTAGAGAATAAAAGACTAAAACTAAGGGAAAAAGTATAAAGAAAGCTATTAAAGAAACTAAAATCATCCCAAAATAATGCCATTTGATTGCCACAAATGGCACTCATCATTTTTATTTTAAGAATAAATTAAAAGCATGTTTGCAACTTCATTGTTCATTTACTTGCCAACTTAATTTATATTAAGTCAAATTCATTGTTTTTTTTTCCAGGAATTCCATGACCCAAGTATCACAAGCAAAACAAACAAAATGAAATGCTTTAAATCCAGCTTCTTTACCCAAGAACTTGTACTCATGTTTGGTCCTTGCTCTGCCACCTGGAATGGTTAACAACATCGCGCCGAAAATAAAGCATAATTTGTTTATATTTGTTAAACAAATATTTTTTTTTATTTATGTGATCGAATTTATTATTTTATTCGTTGCATGTAGTATATCATTTAATATAATGTTTTTATTTTAAAATAAATTGTGAATTTTCTTTGTGATTGGTGCCTTGTGTTTGCTTCTTCTCCAAGGGATGGGTTTGTGGTCCTCCCCTAACCCTTCTAGAAATTGGAAAAGTGTTGTTTTCTTATTTGTGTTGGCTATTTTATTTATTTTAGAATTAAATTAATTAGATAGGGTTTTGATTTTTGATGGTGATCCCACCTCTATAACTACCCCTTAGTTTTTGGGGATTTGTAAGAGAGTTGGACTCTAAGGATCTCCATTTAAGAGTGAAAAAACTCGAGTTCGAATCTCTTGTCGTGTTGTTATTTGGTCTAAGCTACCAAATCTCAACAAAGTTTGGGCGCGTGGGTGAGACGTGTTGGAGGAATCACAAGTGGGATTCTCACGTAGTGGTGGTTTCAAGGGTCATGCTTGTGGTTCATGAGAAGCACGCTTCAAAGGTATAACCACTAAACCCGATTACGTGTTTATTTGTTTACATGTTTAGTCGTATTAATTATTCCAGGGTGGGTTTTGGTTTCCACACGGTGTTTAGAACACCGTAAAACCCAACACGAGGTGCTAGATGATAAATTAGATTTATCTTTGTCTTATACATTAATCGATGCAACCCAAGAAATTATCAAGATGAACACAAGATCCAAGTTATACAACATTTAGTTATTTAAGTAGTTTTCATATGAAAGTAACCGCGCCGAAAATTGGGATAAGT